TACAAGAGTATTTATTAAAATCCCTAATGAGTGAACTGAGCAACCAACCAAATAGAAGTTTGTTTTAAATGAAATTCTGTTTAAATATGATGAAAACGATAATTTCAATGTTTTCATTTTATTTTCGTTTTAAAATCAATTCGGTTCTCAATAATAATTTACTTCGAAAAGTATGGCACAGTAACTTACCTACTGCTAGGCTGACTATAAAAGTATTGGTTTTTTGCAAAAATGTTTAAATGATTTTACAATTTTTCTGTAAAAATAGAACTCACACACACAAAATTTAAATGTACACAAATATAATATTCCTGGTTAAAAAAGAAGCAGTGTTAAACAGGAGCAGGGTGAAAAGAAAATTGAAATGTCAAGCAAAGAGAATGATTTACTTGGCTATGATGGCATGGCGGCCATCTTGAATATTTATTATGCGCAGGTGCATTTGACTTTCATATTGTGGTATTTTCTCTTGTTATCTACCAGCATTTTTTTAGTATTCCATAAAGCGGATTTATTTTTAGTTTACTTAAAAGTTTAGTTAAATTAAAAGTTTTATGTGTGAGTTTAGTTATTATAATAGTATGGAAAAATATATTACCGTGCTATCTTCGGGAATTAATCATCATTTATATTATACTTGAGGACGAGGGTGCTAGGTGGCCTGGAGGCTATGGCGCCTACTTATTATGAATATTTGTATGTATTGATTAAAAGCAGTCTATGTGTGTGCCTTCGGGTATTACTTATCTACATACAACTAAATTCAAACCAAATCGGTCCTGCCGGTTTGGCGAAAAAAAAAATATATAATATAAAGTATATTTTTGTATTGGTATTTAAATTAGACATTACCCGCGTATATGTACTTTCTAATATATTTTGGACACAACTACTAGACGGCGACGGAAAACTTCCTGAGGAACTTTGTACCATTTCTAATTATTATAACTTTGAAAATGATCAATGATTATGCTTTATAGGATAATGATATATTAATAAAAATATACGCTTAGAGTCATCAAACTTTTATTATTTATCGTTGTAGATAAGAAGATAAAATCGTTCGACGTGGAGAGCTAAGGGGGAGGCCTTTGTCCAGCAGTGGACGTCTTCCGGCTGATGATGATGGTGAGGAACTCGAGAAAGGACATAAGATAGTATTAACACCAAAAATCTGCAGGAAGTTACTATTCCACGCGAACGGAATCGCGGGCAAAAGCTAGTAAAACATATGTACGTATAGTCGAAGTGTATTCAAGAGATTAATTATTGCCACTTCGGAAACTTCCATAAAGTTTTCTCAAGTAAAAAACTTTTATAAACACGACAACTTCGTCCAACTATAAACAAGTCTAACTACAATTAAAAGCAGACGATTTATATTTCTGTCATCTTCATCAGCATTTTGTCCGAATGCTTGGAAATAATCTAAATGTTAATCGAGTCAGATTACCTAAGTAATTATTTCTCCAACTACATGTATACCTACATATATTACGATATTTTGTCGGATATTCCAGATAAGAAGTTTTTTGAAAAAAGAACGATAGAACGTCGCACAATGCACCAAAGACTATAGGTTATGGCTGAGTTTTCAATAGTAAGGCAAAGGATATTTGAGGAATAAAATTGTTGTTGTCACTAACTTCTACAAACATTCTGACGCGACAGCATCATAATTATTCCCCAGGTAACTTTTAGCTAACCATTGAAAAATCAACCCTAAAACAATGAAAATAAATAAAGATCTGATGATTCGCAGTAATTTCGTGATATCTTATCGTTTCTCGTATTGTTGATTTTTATTTTTAATTGATTTAGTACTTCCCTAAATTACTGACAAAAGGACTCACTGCTTGTCTCATAAGAACAAGTACGGCATTATGGTGCATATATTTACATTATTTAGCCAGTCATGAGCCATATGTAGACAATACGCGAAATTCTATTATCGAACGAACGCCATGAATGGACGCAAATTGTGCTTCACGTGTCTCATTGTGTGTGACCCATTAGCTAGGTTCTGTCCTTTCATCAACGCCCTAATTACGTGCCTCATAAGGTTCCAATTGATACGAGCACAATTAGTCTCGTCTACACTATGATTTTCTTGGAATGTACGTCACAGACGGAGAAAATGAGTATGTTCAGGCAAAGCAAAGGATAGTTAGATGAAATTTCCTCGCTTATAGCCTTCTGTGAATATAGCATAAGTAAGATAAAACTGTGCAGCGGCCAACAAACAAAGCTTGGTCGGATTTTATGTGTCCGATATACTGTGACATCACATCACACCTGATATTCCCTCGAGCGGTACAGGCGTTACTTTTGCACAAGTCAAAAACTTAAAACCAATTTATAAAATGGCTCTTTGGAAAGACCTATCCTTTAGGTTTCTGCCTTTTAGAATTAATTTATCTACAAGCTAAAAGATTGGGAGGAAAGGGCAAAGTTTCTTATTAAAAAAAAAAAACGAAAAAAAACTCCGTCAATGAGAATAGTCACCAGAAAACTTGCAAACGGTACAGAAGCTCGTTAGTTCGGCCTTTTTATACTTTAAGGAAAAGTTTCCGCTACTAGAACTAGACGCTTTTGTATTTTTATACTTAACAGGAAAAAATATCCTGAACTTTGACCGGGAGACGTGGCAGATATTTTTTTCAACTTATAAAGGAACCGAATCCGAGGAATATTTATTAAAAAATAACTGACAAATAGCCAACATTTGGAATAATTTTAGTGGTAGCCCGGAGATTAAGGCGCTCGCTTCTCATGTAAGAGTGCGGTTCCAAAACCTGGTAAGTTCCAATGTGGTTTTTTATAGGTACACGTTATACCTATCTACTTTCTATGATTATTCATTATGACACAACTGACATAATATGATGAAGGAATACATCGTGAGGAAACCTAGATGTAACATTTCTAAATATAAGTTTGAAATCGCCAATCCGCTTTGAGCAAGCGTGGTGATTAATGCTCAAACCTTTTCCGTGTGAGAAGAGGCCTTTGCTCAACAGTGGGCATTTACAGGCTGATGATGTGTGAAATACTTTTCAAATTATTTAATAATGATGCAATTTATTAGGAAAGTTCAGTGACTAAATTAACTAAGTATAATGTTCAATGAATATCTATTATGATTTAAAATACATAATATAGAATGTCTGCATAGTACAGAAAGCTGATCAATAGCTACTTTTAGTTATTATTTTGAATCAAATCTCTATCGTATCAAAACCTATAAAGCAAAAACATTTTCGAATGAACAAACTCATACCCATAACGACAGATAATGTTCTTTGTTCATTCAAGTATAAAAAAACCACGACATTAATTTCCCAAACGCACTACGCCTCGTTTTTGATAGCACATATAAACGGAAAAGAGTTATTATTTATTACATTATTCTAGCATAATGCCTTAGTATTTACGAGCATAATATACTCGTAATTTACCTGTACGGCGAGGGAAAAACACATAATCGTATTAGTAGTGCCATTTTTCTTTTATTTTGAGAGGGCTCGTGTGTTTTTCAAAGGTATAGGGCAAAGGGAGATTTGTTTACATTATGACATGAGACATCTAAAGGTTTTTGGAATTAATAGCTTGCATTTACTAGAAGGTTCTATGGTCAAGAAGGTTCTTTGTGATTGAATAATTTATGAACGTAGAGAAAGTATAGAATTAAGGATTGTTATAAGTATATTCGGATATGGGATACAAATCTGTATGTTATCAAAATCAAAATAATTTATGATTATCGTGTCTTTTTTAGATTATTTTATTCTTTTGCCAGCGATTTCGTTCGCGTGGAATAGTGACTTCCGCAGATTTTTTGTATAAAACGGCGTGTCCGTAACAATTACCACAGAAATTTGTTCAGTAGTTAAAGCGTGAAGAAAAGATAGACAGACAGAGTTACTTTCGCATTTATAATAATAAAGAATGGATTCAGAATTCAATAGCACATTGTATTTACATAATATGTATTGAATTATTTCCAACGGGAAAATATAAAGCATCAGTTAACGAGATTTTAAGTAAAAATATACTAAGACATTAATTAAGTTTTTTTTGGGAGAGAAAAGCGTCAATAACTTCTCCCGCATGGGTGTGTTGATAGGATAGAATGTCAGACTCTTACTGGCTAAAAGCCACCCTGTTCCTTTTCCTATTAGGTACATTATTGCGCTGGCGTCTACAACCCTGACTGGACCCTTAAGACATTAAAGTAAACTATTTCAAAAGTAATAATATGATAGGGGCTAGACAGAGCAAAATCAACGTCCATAATCTGTCGAACGTCTGGAAAGTTTTACGTAAGTATATTTCGGTATTTTAAACTAAAAATCACTTCGTCACGTACGAAAATTTAAAAAAAAAAGAAAAAATTAAGACAAAAAAAGAAAAAAATGTTTTAAGCTGAAGTTAACAGAGTTTTTTGAAGCTTAGACTAATGATATGACCTGAGAACGAAACTGTGTTATCTAGTTACGAACAAGGCCTAATGTCTCAGCCGGTGAGATGAAGTTATTATCTTTTTTAAGCTTTGGTTTTTTTGTTTGTTGTTTTGTTGGTAATATATGTATATGTATACGTTTGGTGTCGGATGCAATTTCTACGTTGTATTGTCTCTTATATTATTTACATTTGAAAACGATTGATATTTAAAAGTTTTTTTTTTGAAAATTTTGAAAGCGGTGAAAGCCGTTGCTCTTCTACCAGCCTTTTTTAAGGAATAGGAGCCAAACGAGTAGAAGGATCACCATGATGGTAAGTGATCGGTGCCTATGGATAACTTTAGCACCAGAGGAGTCATAGGTGCGTTGCCGGCCTTTTAAGAAGGGGTAAGAAGGGGTACGCTCGTTTCTTGAAGGTTTGAAGTTCGTAACGTATTAGCGTTAGCGCTAACTGTATACTTATCCCAAGATTCACAAAATCAAAGAGAACTCATTTTGAGGACAGGCGTATGGAACATCATAGTTTCAAGTACTTACCAGATTCTTTTTCCGTGTACACTGCAGCAGTTCCCCGTACAGCAATTCTGCTTGCTGCATACCCACTTCGAAGGTCTTCTGAATGGTGCTGATCAGGTAGTCCCGCATTGACTCCAGAACCGTCTGCTCGCCCGTCTCTGACGCATATCTGATGGAAATGTTGTAATTATAGGTAACAGAATTAACTTGAATTCAACATATTTCTTCCATCAGTAATATCGCAACATTATCTAGAATGTAACAAACGAAAAAAAATGGTATTTAATTAAATTCTATGGTCGCGTAGGAATGCAAGATAATATATGAAATATACCACTTCGCACGGGTGTAATGCTGATACTAATTTTCTCTACATACGTACTTGTAAGTAAAAAAACTGCATCAAAATCCATAGAGATGTGTACTGATATAGCGACTTTGTTTTATACTATGTAACATATATTACAGAACTTTATAAACAGCAACTTTTGGTTATAATAATTAATTTAAGTACGTCTTCAGTTTAAATGTAAGCTTGTTAGTTGAGTAAAATAATAAATTTAAATTACAGCCGGGAAGTCCATAATATGTTCTACTTACATTTAAAGAAGGCAACTTAATCAGTAGTTGTATTCTTGACAATTAGCCAAATATTTAGTTTTTTATTTTGGTATTTTCCTCAGTCATAAAGATATTATTTCAGCTTTTGAGTGAGTGAGGTTATCGGAGGCCTAATCTTTATTCCTAATCCCTAAAACACCGAAACCCTAATCCCCAATAGGTCGGCAGCGCACTCGTGTTTCTTCTGATAATGGTGACCATGGGCAGCTCGTTCGTCTTACCAGACGGTAAGAAATAGGTGCCGACCCAACACATAAAAAATAAAAAAGGGTATAAAATAGTAAATAAAAGTCCACAATGGTAATGAAAACGGGCAAATAGCTTCACTAAGAGGACTGCCCGATAGACTAGACGTTCAAAAGTGCCATGATGGTTAGATTGAAATAAATTATTTGACTTTGACTTTGATTTGCCAACACAGCAAAAATAAACACAATATAACTTGAAAACGTCTACAACAGAATTTGTAACGTGTCTACAAACAAAATGTCAACAAGGATACGTATATTGTATGTACGTACGGTTTATATATTTTCAAGGTGCCCTTAAAGTAAAGCAGTTCTTGACATTTACTTTGAGAAATATCTTGGAGAGAATTCGTATCCATTCTAATGTGGGATACCAAAAAATATTCAGACAAAATATACTGTCGAGATATTTTGATGTAGTAATAAAATTGAGGCCCGTAGGCCGTATTTTTTTTGATAACGACGTCATTATGGGTTACTGTTGTGAATCATGGGGTGGTGCCAGCAAGTGCTCGGGCCAGGAGTCACTGATATTATGTGTATTTTTCTGAGGATCCTGAAGTTTCTAAGTGTATGTTTTAGGGTTAACATTTTAAGTTTTTTGCTAGTCAGTTTAATGAGAAGTAGCACCACTGAAAAATCAAGCCCAAAACACTAAAAGTGAGTGGAACATGGTGGCCAGACTAGAATCGGAGAATATGGAACCTATCTGTTAACTACACACCATGCATCAGAAATTAGCCCATAGAGATAACTGGTTGAAGGATTATACCTGCAACCATTCTCTATGGGCTACTTTACCAAAGAAGTCACGCTCCTCAGCAGTGTGGTTATGATCAAGGGGATGCAAAGAAATAGAGAGTGCTCTTTCAAATAAGCAATTAAAAGCTGGTGAAAAGAGTCCTTAAAAAGTGAGTGAACGACTAACTGAAGTTAGTCGTAAAGTAGTAGTTAGTAGTAAAGTAGCCCATAGAGAAAAATGGTTGAAGGATCATATAAAAGAAGGATAACGTTATAATTAATGACCTTTCACTGTTTTTTTTGTGAACATCACTGCGGCACTATAGGGTTTTCTCCTAAGCCACACAATTTCACATACACATAACACCCAGACACGAAACAACAATTAGTGGATCAGACAAAGAGTTGTTCTGTGTCGGAATCAAACCCGCGACACGTTGCACGGCAGCCGGTTGGTCAGCCACCGTATAAACCGTGCAGTCGACATATTCTTAAGTATCATGCTATATATTCCAGAACTTTCCAAGTTGTACCTATAATAAAGCAACAAACTAATACTCGTAAGTATTACTCTTCAAAGTTAGTAAAGTTTGGTAAAACTTGTGAGTACTTGCACCGCACTTATGAAATTGTGTGCAGTTTCATTGAACAAATATTGGGTACTCAGGGACTTTGACACATGTATTACTTGAAAAACTTTACTTGTTTCTGTGACTGGTTGTTCGATGCGGGTACGAGGAGTATTGATTTAGAATGGAGGCCAAAAAATTTGTTATTTTGTAATCGAACTTGTTAGGTATGGGTATTATTAATTAGGTACTAATGTGTCGTACGAAATGTTTTTAGATACATGAATTGATAGATTTTCTATTACTGTTTTGTAACGAGTTTCAAGTATAGCACGCTGCACATGAATAAGAGTTCCGTTGTGACTTGAAACTAGCGAAGTTTTTATCAGTTTTTTTTTAGAAAAAAAAAGTATTTTCTCTTGTATCGTGGGTGCGTTTACAAACATAGAATTTTACATACATATCCCACAGTGGTTTCGTTCGGGAAAAAAACCGGCAACAGGTTGCGTGGCAGCCGAGCCACCGCGCGACCCGTGCAGTCAAATTCACGCGAGTAAGTCGTTATTTTCAATAAACAAAATAAACACTGTTTTTAACTATTTTACTATACATATATTAGGTACTTACTTGTGAACAAAAGCAATGAGATCCGCAGCTCGACCGCTACCGTCACATACAACGACGGGCACCGGAGGTGTGTCAGTGACGTATTCCAACACTGCACGCACCGTGTTAGTGCCGCCCTCTATCACCAGGCACACCACCGGAGTCGAGGAGTGTGTGTCTGCAAAAAAAATGCCATTAAAATGTGTCACATTAAATTAAATTAGTATTTTCAGTCATTGATAAAGATTACAGATTGACAAAAATAATAATTGTTAAACGCGCCAATTTATAATTTTTTTAATTTGTTGTTAAACGTACACAGGACGCAAGACAAAATCCTAGAGAAGGACTCATTTTTTATAAAAAAAATATTTTTTGAATATTGAACATCGAAGGTACACAGCAAAAAAAAAAAATTTTTTTTTCTGTAAACATTTATATTATTTCTCGAATCTTATGTAGGTATATTCATATTTATCACAGCAATGAAACTTAAAATTTTATGGTGATGGTGATATGCATGCTGAAAGGTATTAAAAATAATAATTTAAAACAAATTAACTTAGATACGTAGTATACATGTACATGCAATCTTTTAATGTACTATGATTAATAAAACCCACTAGTTACCAATTTAATAAAATTTGGCATATCTTTTAAAAAAAAAAAAACGTTTCCCTACACTAGGATTAACTCCTGTGTCGTGGGTGCGTTTACAAACATACAATTTCACATACACATGACACGCAGACCCGAAACAAAAATTTGTGGATCACACAAAGTGTTGTTCCGTGCGGGAATCGAACCCGCGACACGTCGCACGGCTGCCAGCTGCCCAGCCACCGCGCCAACCGGGAATATGAATGGATTGTAGTCTGGAACACTACATAGGCTTCTCTTTACCCTGATACTACCAGCAAAGTTGTTGGCAGAAGCTAGTATTCGAAACTTAGGGAAGATAAGACCTACATTAAATAAAATATAATTTGTCTACCAGTCGCGGTATCTAAGTTACTGAAGGGTCGTAAACACTGCTTTAAATAACAAATAGATCGACCTGAAAATACTGAAACACTGAAATAAATAGCCGCTATTATATAAAAGTGACAAATAAGTTGACATAGGTACGGAATAAATTCAGACGAATTATTTCCACGTAATTTGATTTCGCCAATTTCTCACCCAAGCTGTTCACAAGCGCACTGCAGGAGGTTTTTAACAGCTTGCCTAATTCATGGCAATCACGGGGTATAACTGTTGGTGACCAGCAGCTAACGAACCTCCGCTTTGCTGATGATATTGTATTGTTCTCCACATCATCTAAAGATCTTGAAGAAATGCTAAAAGATCTGAATACGGCAAGTGTTGAGGTTGGGCTTAAAATGAACAGATCGAAAACCCAGATCATGACCAACAGCACGAAACGTAGGGTAGAGGTAGACGGGCAAGTGTTGCAATATGTCGATGAGTATACGTACTTGGGCCAGATAATATCCTTTAAAAATAGGCAAGATAAGGAGGTCGAAAGGCGAATCCAAAATGCTTGGAAGACCTTCTGGGCCTTTAAAGATCACTTAAAGGGTAGCCTTCCAATGACACTGAAACGAAAACTCATCGACATGTGTATCCTGCCCGTCCTAACCTACGGTGCTCAAAGTTGGTCACTTACTGAACAGCAAAAGTCCAAACTCAAGATTTGTCAAAGGGCAATGGAGCGCAGCATTTTAGGTGTTAAGCGATTAGATCGCGTTAGAAACACCACGCTGCGCTCCATAACTCAAATAGCAGATGTCGGAGAAAAAACAGCCAGGCTGAAGTGGGAGTGGGCTGGCCACGTCGCACGAATGCACTCGGACAGATGGGCGAAGATTGTCACTCACTGGACACCAGAAGGAGGTCGACGCCGTCGAGGTCGACCACGGCGAAGGTGGTGTGACGATCTGATCATGTACGCGGGGCAAACTTGGCCGGAGATCGCTCTAGACAGAGAAATTTGGAAGGAAAAAGGGGAGGCCTTTGCCCAGCAGTGGGACACACGATAGGCTATAAAAAAAAAAAAAAAAAAAAAAATTTGATTTCATTTTGTGGAACATTTTTTGTACTATATTTTGCTCACGTTGGTTGAAAATAAATTGATCGAATAGGTGCCATTTTTAATTCAATTCAATTCAATTCAATATATTTATTGTATTCCACAATGTGAACTTAGGTGGTAGGGTACATAAGGATTTACATATATTAGTTTAAGAGCATTGTGGGCCCTGTCGGGCATAACAACATTTATTTATTTATTTATTTTTTATGAGGAGGACTAGTATTTATACATATATGTTTACAATTTTAAGTAGGTTTATATAGCTTATTCTATCTATACTAATCTATACTAGCTATACTTATATTATAAATTAAATGCGAAAGTAAATGTCTGCAGGAAGACACCATTCCACGCGAACGGAGTCGCGGGCAAAAGCTAGTTATACATGTATTTTTAACATTTGTTTCTATTTTTATTATTATTATAGTTTATTTAGTGAATTTATCATTTAATAAGTATATACTTCTTACTTATATGTTTGTTCTATATTATTAATTATTTATTGTTGTGTTAGTTGAAATTAAAATTAAAGTTTTACATTTATTTCGACAGAGATAGATTTTATATGTAATGCATATAGTTACGTCATGTACTGTTTTATTTTGTTAAGTGAGTTTATCGTCAAAGAATTCTTTTACTGTGTAATAACATTTTGTTTCCAGGAGTCGTCTTAATTTGTGTAAAAACACATTGGTTTTAGGTTCGTTTATTAGGGATTTAGGTAACTTGTTGTATATTTTTACTGACATAGTGATTTAGTTTTACTAACGTAAATAGAAGTACCTAGATGAACTAGCTTTGTTCAGTTCAGTTTTTTTTCTGAAAATAAAACACAGCTACGTTGGTTTTTCGAAACCAGTTACGTATAAAGTTTTTTTTTTATGTAATAGATCGACAAACTAGTATTCGGATTACTTTGTGGTACGCAACCGGCGCCTATGGACACTGACACCAAAGGAGTCATGAGTGCGTTGCCGACCTTTTTGGGATTAGGATGCTGGAGATTTAGGGATTGGAGAGAAGAAAGAACGATTGGGCCTACGGTAAAATTTCATCTGAAATTAATCGTGTGAATTATACCAGTAGTAGTTAAATCTACACTAATATTATAAAGAGGTAAAATTTGTAAGTTTGTAAGTTTGTATTTAGGGGGTAATCTTTGGAACCGCTGGTCGGATTACCAAAATTCTTTCACTGATAGACATCTACAATGTTCCTGCGTGCTATAGGCTATTAAACATCACGCTACGATCAAATGGAGCCGAGCAGCGGGTGAAACCGCGCGAGAATAGCTAGTGTAGAAGAACAAGAATGACTTGTAAATAAGTACCTCCTCCTCTAAATTTAAAGGCAGTAAATATTTGCTTTGTTAATTACGGTTTTAACGTTGTTGTGTTTGACAGCATGAGCCATTAAACTTTCAATAAATTCTCAGGAATATTAATCAAAGTTTTTGACATCTCATTAATAAGTATTTGAACTCTTTGAAAAGTTCCACATAGAAACTTACATACATACTTAACGTTAAATTTTGTTCTTCGAAGGCGTAAGTAGCAGGCCTGTTTCCACACTTTCATGTAAGTTCCCGATAAACTTTTGTGTCACATAGCTCATAGTTCATAATAATTACGATAAAAAATCAACGTGTATTTTTTTTATGTCGGCAAAGGAGCAGGCGGATTACCTGATGGTAAGCAATCAGCGCCGCCCATGGACGCCCGCAACGGAGGAGTTACGAGTGCGTTGCCGATCTTTTAGGGATTAGGGATTAGTGATTTGGATATTTAGGGATTGAGGAAGGATTGGGGGAGGGGAAGGATTGGGCCTCCGGTAACCTCACTCACACGGCGAAACACAACGCTGTGGTTGTTTCACGCCGGTTTTCTGTGAGGTCGGTCGAGCCGACCCATTCGTGCCGAAGCATGGCTCTCCCACACTTATGTGTATCTTACATTATCATACTCATGGTGATCAGGGTGAGGATATTAAATTGAAGAAGTAGCACTGACTAACCGAATCTGATGATTTTGAGAAAAATTCTGAAGAAAGAAATTGATTCTCCAGGTAAAAAGTTATGAGGCGATGCACAATAAGACAGGTGAATTGAAAACGCCCTTCTTTTTCTTAGAAGGTTACGATACTAACATATGTATGTACATATATATCTATTTCTCTACGCATCGAAGACTATAGATGCGATATTCTACCAAAGTCTCGGACCAGGCCATAAACTGTTAAAGTTAAACCAATAAATATCACAGAGACTACACACCGGCACCACGTTTATGTCAAAAAGAACCTTTTATTCGTCGCAGTAAATCCGTTTTATGTAATTTTCACTGCTTTCGGATTGAATGGGAATTTTCCTGAAGTGTTTCGATAAAATCATAAAGAGAAAAAAGTGTAGTACTTGTACTTGTAAATTGAGTTATATTCTTTGGTTCAATGAAATGAAATTAGCTTGTCAAGCTTTTCTGATGTTGGAGTGTCGTGATTGCTTTCGTTTCTTTTTGTATTTAACATTTGTATCCAAGTCGAAAAATTGAAGATTGATATTTTTGGCGAATTCAAGTTTAGAAAAGGAATTCTGGTCACTGTGATACTGTGTACAGATAATACATACTTATCCAAAATAATATTATAAATGCGAAAGTAACTTTGTCTGTCCGTCTGTCTTTTCTTCACGCCGAAACTACTGAACCGATTTCTGTGTAATTTAGTACAGACATAGTTGGGCACTCGAAAAAGGACACAGATAGTTTTTATACCAAAAATCAACAGGAAGTCACTATTCCACGCCAACGAAATCGCGGGCAAAAGCTAGTTACAGCATAAATAATTAAACAACCAGACACCGTATACTGCAATTTTTTTTATGGAATAGGTGGCAAACGAGCAGACGGATCACCTTATGGTAAGCGATCGGCGCCGCCCATGGACATCAACAACACCAGAGGAAATGTTTCATTATGTTAAACTATTTTTTGTCTTCGCTACATCGAACAATGGTACCCAGGATATTATTAGCATTCAACGAAGGACGAAGTAACAAACCGTAGCTGTTTATGATATCCTATTAACGT